AACATCATACCAATACCTCAACATCATTCCAGCACCTCAACATCATACCAGCACCTCAACATCATACCAGTACCTCAACATCATACCGGTACATCAACATCATACCAATACCTCAACATCATACCGGTACGTCAACATCATACCAGTACCTCAACATCATACCAGTACCTCAACATCATACCAGCACCTCAACATCACTTCTGAAGGATAGCCTATCTGAACCCTGCAAATGTATCCTAGCCTGGCATAAATAATCAAACTTACCATAAACCTAAGTCTATATATCTAATTTCAAAGATATTCATCTGCATCTAAAAGATGTGATTTAGACGAGCATGTCTACGGGAGTTAAGATCATTTTCCTGCCTCTTTCTACTAGTGGCTTTAATTATTAATGCTGGACATGTGTCTTCGTACATTGTCAACACTGTATTAATTACATTTAGAAAACGCTAGTAGTTGTATTATTTGAGAAACGTAGTGACCTAGCCATCCGCGAGGTATGAAAAAGTCGACCAATAAATACAACGAAATAGTGAATGCGAGAGGTCGTTTAAATAACATACTTCAGTTTACTTATCTATGCAAATTGTATGCCTTGCCACAGTCAGACTGAAGACTGACAAGATATATTGTCTTACTGTACCTATATAGGTTGAGTATGATAATGGTATACTGTACCGACAAGTTGATAAGTAAGACACATGATCACAAAGAGCTAGTATAGTATAACGAGTTTAAATCACGGAGAAAAATAGTAGAATGTGTGCTCATTTCGCTTTAATTTTCTTCCATTGTCTACATGGAAAGAAATGAGTGCAAAATAAGCATCGATGAAGGTTTTGTTCACATTATTAACGATGGAAGATATAATAACTCAGAAAAACCATGAAAATCAAGCCGAGTGACTTATTTGTTTACGTCTTTGGGTCCTCTCTCCTAGGATGGACGTACAACAGCTGACTAACAGCCAGGTTCCTATTTACTGCTAGGTGAATCGGTGCCGCAGGTGCGGCACGCACTACTGGAAAATGTCAGCTTCTCATGAAGAACTGTCAAATACCTGTCTTCGGGAAGTTCACTAAACAAGGAGTTCTGGGGATAAATGCTCTACTTGAGAAAACTTGGTAAGGTCAAAATGTCGTGTACGCAAAGAATAACGACATTCAGGTTGATCATCTGACTGAGTGTTAGAGGTAGAGGGTACAGAGTCAGGAAGATTGTCAGCGTCTGTCACATTAGTCTGGGTAGAAATATCATCCTCAACATCGCATACTAACTTCATATGATCTAAATGCGAGTTCTTTTTACTGGCCAGTACTAATTTCCTGACCTATTGTTTAGTCTTAGGGTGATAGAAACATTAAATGAATCTGAGATGATGAGTCAGCTCCTTACACAGCTTTAAGAGCAGGCATACCTGGAGGTTACCTGGAGGTTATTCCGGGGATCAACGCCCCCGCGGCCCGGTCCACGACCAGGCCTCCCGATGGATCAGGGCCTGATCAACTAGGCTGTTACTGCTGGCCGCACGCAGTCCGACGTACGAGCCACAGCCCGGCTGATCCGGCACCGACTTTAGGTATCTGTCCAGCTCTCTCTTGAAGGCAGCCAGGGGTTTATTGGCAATTCCCCTAATGCTTGATGGGAGGCTGTTGAACAGTTTTGGGCCCCGGACACTTATGGTGTTTTCTCTTAGTGTACCAATGGCGCCCCTACTTTTATTGGCGGCATTTTGCATCGCCTGCCCAGTCTTTTACTTTCGTAGGGAGTGATTTCTGTGTGCAGATTTGGGACCATTCCTTCCAAGATTTTCCAAGTGTAGATTATGATATATCTGTCCCTCCTGCGTTCCAACGAGTACAAGTCAAGTGCTTCCAAGCGTTCCCAGTAGTTAAGGTGCTTGACAGAACTTATATGTGCAGTAAAGGATCTCTGTACACTCTCTAGATCTGCGATTTCACCTGCTTTGTATGGAGATGTTAATGTACAGCAGTATTCCAGCCTAGAGAGAACAAGTGATTTGAAAAGGATCATCATGGGCTTGGCATCTCTCGTTTTGAAAGTTCTCATTATCCATCCTATCATTTTCTTTGCACGTGCGATCGTGGCACTGTTGTGATCCTTGAAAGTGAGATCCTCAGACATTACTACTCCCAGGTCCCTTACATTATTTTTCCGCTCTATTGTATGGCCGGAGTCAGTAGTATACTCGTTCTAGTTATTATCTCCTCCAGTTTTCCATAACGGAGTAGTTGGAATTTGTCCTCATTGAACATCATATTGTTTACCGTTGCCCATTGGAAAACTTTTTATATATCTTCTTGGAGGTTAACCGCGTCCTCAGCAGATGACAGCCTCATGCAGATCCTAGTATCATCCGCAAAGGATGATACGGTGCTGTGGTGTATATCTCTGTTTATGTCTGATATGAGGATAAGGAATAAGATGGGGGCGAGTACTGTGCCTTGTGGAACAGAGCTCTTCACTATGGCAGCCTCCGATTTAACTCTGTTGACCACTACTCTTTGTGTTCGATTTGTTAGGAAGTTGAAGATCCATCTCCCCACTTTCCCAGTTATTCCTTTAGCACGTATTTTATGGGCTATTACGCCATGATCGCATTTGTCAAATGCTTTTGCAAAGTCTGTGTATATTACATCTGCATTCTGATTTTCTTCCAGTGCATCCAAGGCCATGTCATAGTGATCCAGTAGTTGTGAGAGGCATGAGAGATAATGTTAGGTCAGAAGCAGTCTCAGACCCTGAAAATACAACTAGCTAAGTACACAAAAAACTACTATATTGGAGGAGACATTCTGATTTTTGTATATAATAAAAATCTATTGTGTAACGAGGAAAATTTTTTAACATTAAATATTACCATTGGGGGTCCCATAAGGCTCGATACTACATTATTATATTCACGTAGGAACGTTAAAACCATGAGAGTCATATAGTGCTTGGGGATATAAGAGACAGGCAGGTTTGATCTAAGGAAGGGGCGGGCAAGTCCCATTCCTTGGATCAAAGCCCTTCGCTGAACTTAAAGAACTTCCCTTCGAAAAGTCACGGGGAAGGCTCAGTACTAATCCTGTAATTATATTAACTTATTTAAGCATATTACAGAAGCAATAGATAACTGCATTAACATGTCTGCAGAAAATGCAAAATAAAGAAATGGCTATGAACCCATACAAGATTACTATCATACACTGAGCTAGTGATGATAAATAATAATATGGGATTTAATGTTGATAAGTGAGAGAAAACGAAAACAAAACTCACGAACCTTATTAACTAACTTATTAACATTAAGTCACGAAAACAAAACTCACAAAGCTTATTAACTAACTAGACTATACACTAATTCACGAAAACAGAACTCACGAAGCTTATTAACTAACTAGACTATACACTAATTCACGAAAACAGAACTCACGAAGCTTATTAACTAACTAGACTATACACTAATTCACGAAAACAGAACTCACGAAGCTTATTAACTAATTAGACTATACACTAATTCACGAAAACAGAACTCGGGTAACTTATCGACTAACTAGGCTCTACACTTAGTCACGAAAACATCAAAAGTATTCAAAATGCTATTCGCAATGTACGTGTAACCTAAATTAGAATATACAGCTGTATGATGTCAGTAATGCCTGCTCACACTCAACCCATCATATATAATAAAAATTAACACTAAAAAGATAAGAATTGGGTCAGAATTGGGTTTTGAAAAGTTTTATTTTCATTTATTTATTTATTTTTTATTTGAACATGATACATAGTTGTACAAAGAAACATAGTGATTGGGTGTACATGCCAAAAGCCCCTTGTATGCAGAGCATTATGGGCAGGCTTAAAATTAACTTAAGATTAACTAAGCAATGATATATTCAGTGGTAAAAATTACAGTAAACAAATTACAACATGAAGTACGAATGAGTATTTCCAATAAGAAGCATTAAAGTTGTACTAATTGTATCATAAACAAGTATAATATAATCGAATAAGATCGAGAAAAAAAAATCAAATGATTTGCAGTGCAGAAACAGGTCATATTGTCATTAGATGAGTTACTGTACATTCAAGAGAATGGAGTATTCTCTTAGGTAATGTAATTAAAAAAAAAACAGTTTGATAGGGTCACAGGTTATACATTTCTGAGATTCAGTTATTCAGTATATATTTAGTTGTGGGTGAGTAAGTGGTTTTTAAGAAGTCTTGAACTGATAAACAGACAGTATTTCTTTTATATTCACAGGTAATGAATTCCAGATTTTTGGGTTTTTAGTTTGTACATTCAAAGGTGTCAAACAAAAGACCTAGGTGTTAACATTATGATAAAACCCATACTGAAAGAAACACAAAAACCCAATACCATCAATTACGTGTGCCAAACTGGCAAGCACAAGAATGTCATTCAGGAATGTACATAAAGCCGAGTTTAAGCTGACACAGTCAACAAATTTCCAAGCAATCCTAGTATACGTGGTGTCAAAATGGAACCCACACCAAATATACGTCAAGATTTTAATGGTCCAAAAGTTTGCCACAAGGCTGATACCGAAAATGAGGAACAAAAGTTACGAAGACTGTAGGAACTTGAAATCACAACGTTAAATAAGAGAAGAGAGGAGGACACGATCACAATAAACAAAACACTCTAGAGGAAGACAACGTACACGCAGACACAACAGCAATTATACGGCGCCTGAAAAATTAAGAAAATAACTTTTTATTTAAGGAAGAGTGGATTAGATTTTGCTGCCGAAGCGGCTAGTTGTTGTGTACCTCATATCTATCCTGTGGAGGGTAGCGCAAGAGCATATGGATACACACAAGACCTAGAAACTAGGCCTCAAAAGGATTAGCATGAGTATATCTTGTTTTATGAATAGGTATGATAGGGCTCAAGCACAAAGGAGTAGCGGCTAGCGGAGATGCGGGGCCAGTTGAAACTCGACTCTTGCAACCACGATTAGGGAAGTACAAGCCAGCAAGCAGGTACACAGGCTAGCAAGCATGTGCGCAGGGCAGTGAACAAAGCGGTAGTGGTCATATGATGAGCCACTCAGAAGTGGCAGGGAGGCCGAGGTGAACACGACTGACCACCACCAACTCCCAGTATCACTTCTACTGCCTCGCTCACCTGTATGCACCACCCACCTTCCTAACACCACACACATCATGGCAGTCCATGTAAGTCACAGTTTAGGAGTCCATAAAAATATTAAGATTTTCTTATTATTGATAGCTTCGTGGCCTGTAGTCAGTCATTTTTAAACTATTCTTAGTTAATCGTTATTCCTCAAGGCACCATTGTAAGATTCCTACGGGCTTAGCGCTTCCCCTTGAATATAATACTGCAATAATATGCCTTATCTTTATATTTTATTCTGATTATTAACCCACCTAAAGCACCTAAAGTCAGTTCCTGATCAGCCGGGCTGTGGCTCGTACGTTAGTTTGCGTGCAGCCAGCAGCAACAGCCTGGTTGATCAGGCTCTGATCCACCAGGAGGCCTGGTCACAGACCGGGCCGCGGGGGCGTTGACCCCCGGAACTCTCTCCAGGTAAATAGAGCTAAAAACCGGGGGGGGGGGAAGGGGGCCTTTTAGCCACTTCCCCAGGATGCCACCCACAAAAGTCAGCTAATACACAAATACCTACTAACTGCTAGGTGTATTATATGAATGGCATACAATACCGACAAGCTAAAGAATTAAGATACATGGGTAACATCTGGGTATCTATAAATTGTTGACGTTCCGCCATCTAGTGGTTTTATCAACACAATACAAGAACATAATGTGAAGACTAATAGTATATACAGAAGACGAGGATGGCAAAACGTCTACAAATTATAAATATCCAGATGTTGCAAATGTGTCTAATTTTTCAACTGCTAAGTGGACATGAGGAACCGATGTGAGGCGAAGAAGCTACCACTTGAGCCATGAGTCACCTACGAGGATGTAGGGTTCAACAGCTAAAAAGTGTACAATGTTTGGTGTTTGCAGATTAACTTTAGCTCTGGTCTCGATTTTATTTCTCTAATAAAAGCATGTATAGTAATTACTACCTCTTCTCCTAAGTTCCCTGTTTTTCTGTCCATATATTCTTTGATTTTGACTCGTTACACTGTCTCATGAAATCATAATAACACGACTGGAAACAAATCACAGAACGGGCGGGGTTTGAACCCATGGTAAGTGAGTAATAAAACCCACAGGCCCAGTGGTTAGCGCACTGGCCTGTGATTTGATTTTACTGCACTGTATTGTACACCGTGAGCTCCTTCTCTTCTTCACATGGTCTTTCTTCCTTCCTGGTACATATCTGTTTGTGCCTTCCTTGCTTATCTTCAGTAGCCTCTCGGTCATCTTGTGAACTGTCAATTTTCCATTTCTATACTGAACCCCATTTAGGAACTCTCATTTCTGTGAAATTATTTATCCTTAGTCTGACTTTTCTTTGCATCTGTTAGCTCTGGTGTTTGCCTGGTTGACCAGGCAAGCACCAAACGAGCCTGACCTATGGCCGGGCTCCTGGAGTAGAAAAATCTCTCGGAACTCAGGTATATCAAGGGTATGTTTATCTCCTTCTCCACCTTGTAGACGAAAAAAACTCAGAACCATGTGGTCACTGACTAATAAAGGTTTCACTTATTCGATTCTCATATATTTCTATTGTTCTTAGAGAAAAAGACCAGATTCGTTTTGCGGGTTTTAAATTCTCTATGAATATCATTGTCAAATATGTTAGCTTTTTTAAGCCTTTCAATAATCCCTTTACTAGTTCTTCTCTTTCATTATATTTGATTTAATCACACGTAAAAAAAAATAACAAAAAAACGAGACAAGATAAGCTGGGAAGACTAAATGTGGATTTCACCCTAAACTAATACACTAAATTAACCTGCTTTAGCACAATAGGCGAATACTCACACACAGTACTGTGCAAAGTTAAACAAAATACGAGACAAGGAGGTAGGTTAGGTTAAATTAAGGAGATTCGAAACCATCCTCACATCAGACTAAAGAAACTAACATCAGACTGAAGAAACTTACATCAGACTGAAGAAACTTACATCAGACTGAAGAAACTAACATCAGACTGAAGAAACTAAAAATCAGACTGAAGAAACTTACATCAGACGAAGAAACTAACATCAGATGAAGAAACTAACATCAGAGTGAAAAACTAACATCAGAGTGGGAAAAACTAACATCAGATGAAAAACTAACATCAACTGAAGAAACTAACATCAGAGTGAAGAAACTAACATCAGACTGAAGAAACTAACATCAGAGTGAAGAAACTAACATCAGACTGAAGAAACTAAAATCAGACGAAGAAACTAACATCAGAGTGAAGAAAATAACATCAGACTGAAGAAACTTACATCAGACTGAAGAAAAACATCAATGAAGAAACTAACATCAGAGGAAGAAACTAACATCAGACTGAAGAAACAACATCAGAGTGAAGAAACTAACATCAGGGACTGAAAAACTTACATCAGACTGAAGAAACTAATATCAGACTGAAGAAACTAACATCAGAGTGAAGAAACTAACATCAGAGTGAAGAAACTAACATCAGACTGAAAAACTAACATCAAAGTGAAGAAACTAACATCAGACTGAAGAAACAACATCAGACTGAAGAAACTAACCCTCAGAGTGAAGAAACTAACATCAGACTGAAGAAACTTACATCAGACTGAAGAAACTAACATCAGACTGAAGAAACTAACATCAGAGTGAAGAAACTAACATCAGACTGAAGAAACTAACATCAGAGTGAAGAAACTAACATCAGACTGAAGAAACTTACATCAGACTGAAGAAACTAACATCAGACTGAAGAAAATAACATCAAAGTGAAGAAACTAACATCAGACTGAAGAAACTAACATCAGAGTGAAGAAACTAACATCAGACTGAAGAAACTAACATCAGACTGAAGAAACTAACATCAGAGTGAAGAAACTAACATCAGAGTGAAGAAACTAACATCAGACTGAAGAAACTAACATCAGAGTGAAAAAAACTAACATCAGATGAAAAACAAAAATCAGAGTGAAGAAACTAACATAAGAGTGAAGAAACTAACATCAGACTGAAGAACTAACATCAGACTGAAGAAACTAACATAAGAGTGAAGAAACTAACATCAGACTGAAGAAACTAACATCAGACTGAAGAAACTAACATAAGAGTGAAGAAACTAACATCAGAGTGAAGAAACTAACATCAGACTGAAGAAACTAACATCAGAGTGAAGAAACTAACTCAGAGTGAAGAAACTAACATCAACTGAAAAAAACTAACATCAGAGTGAAGAAACTAACATCAGAGTGAAGAAACTAACATCAGACTGAATAAACTACATCAGAGTGAAGAAAAATAACCTCAGACTGAAGAAACTAACATCAAGTAAGAAACTAACATCAGACTGAAGAAACTAACATAAGAGTGAATAAACTAAAAATCAGAGTGAAGAAACTAACATCAGACTGAAGAAACTAACATAAGAGTGAATAAACTAACATCCGAGGTGAAGAAACCAACATCAGACTGAAGAAACTAACATCAGAGTGAAGAAACTAACATCAGACTGAAGAACTAACATAAGAGTGAAGAAACTAAAATCAGAGTGAAGAAAACTAAAATCAGACTGAAGAAACTAACATCAGAGTGAAGAAACTAACATCAGACTGAAGAAACTTACATAAGAGGGGAAGGGAAAAAACATCAGAGTGAAGAAAAACTAACATCAGACTGAAAAAACTAAAATCAGAGTGAAGAAACTAACACTGACTGAAAAAACTAACATCAGAGTGAAGAAACTAACATCAGAGTGAAGAAACTAACATCAGACTGAAGAAACAACATCAGAGTGAAGAAACTAACATCAGAGTGAAGAAAAATAACATCAGACTGAAGAAACTAACATCAGAGTGAAGAAACTAACATCAGAGTGGGAAAAAACCCAACATCAGAGTGAAGAAACTAACATCAGACTGAAGAAACTAACATCAGAGTGAAGAAACTAACATCAGAGTGAAGAAACTAACATCAGACTGAAGAAACTAACATCAGAGTGAAGAAAAATAACATCAGACGAAGAACTAACATCAGAGTGGAAGAAACTAACATCAGAGTGAAGAAAACTAACATCAGACTGAAGAAACTAACATCAGAGTGAAGAAAAATAACATCAGAGTGAAGAAACTAACATCAGAGTGAAGAAACTAACATCAGACTGAAGAAACTAACATCAGACTGAAGAAACAAATCAGAGTGAAGAAAACTAACATCAGACTGAAGAAACTAACATCAGAGTGAAGAAACTAACATCAGACTGAAGAAACTAACATCAGAGTGAAGAAACTAACATCAGACTGAAGAAACTAACATCAGACTGAAGAAACTAACATCAGAGTGAAGAAACTAACATCAGACTGAAGAAACTAACATCAGACTGAAGAAACTAACATCAGACTGAAGAAACTAACATCAGACTGAAGAAAACTAACATCAAGTGAAGAAACTAACATCAAAACTGAAGAAAAATAAAAAAACAGAGCGAAGAAACAACCTCAGACTGAAGAAACAACATCAGAGGAAGAAAAATAACAAACAGAGTGAAGAAACTAACATCAGACTGAAGAAACTAACATCAGAGTGAAGAAACTAACATCAGACTGAAGAAACTAACATCAGAGTGAAGAAACTAACATCAGAGTGAAGAAACTAACATCAGAGTGAAGAAACTAACATCAGACTGAAGAAACTAACACAGGGCTGAAGAAACTAACATCAGAGTGAAGAAACTAACATCAGACTGAAGAAACTAACATCAGAGTGAAGAAATAACATCAGACTGAAAAAACTAAATCAGAGGAAAGAAACTAACATCAGACGAAGAAAATAAAATCAGACTGAAGAAACTAACATCAGACTGAAGAAAAAACATCAGAGTGAAGAAACTAAACATCAGAGTGAAGAAACTAACATCAGACTGAGAAACTAACATCAGATGAGAAAAATAACATCAGAGTGAAGAAACTAACATCAGAGTGAAGAAACTAACATCAGAGTGAAGAAACTAACATTTAAATGAAGAAACTAAAAATCAGAGTGAAGAAAATAACATCAGAGTGAAGAAACTAAAAATCTGAGTGAAGAAACT